TCTACCACTAGATTCTCTGCGTAAGCATGCTCAGAGGTGTGCTTATATTTACACACATTTCTACGTATAAGTACAAGTTGGCAGATCCCACACTTTGCGTTAAACTGTTCTTATGCACTCATTACGCACACATCTGTGCATACGCACTATTGATAAATGAGGACCCTGGAGAACTGTCTGCGGATTAAAGTGACATCCATATCACCCAACATCCAAAAAATCATGACTGATGGAAGATGCCAGTTTTCACATTTAGTGAGTAGCCTACTAAGCCTATGTAATAGCCAAAATGTACTTTGAACGTAGTTACTGAATTTCATCTAACTTTAACTCTATTCCTACTCCTGTTTACTGTCGTTCCAGGTGTATAAATATATGCACCGCCAGCTGTTCTGCATCCATGATCAAGAATTCTTTTTTTGCTGATTGTCTTGCCAATCTTTTTGATAAAAAGGAAGCTGAATTTGCTTTGTTATTGTTCACGTGTTGGTGCTGAGGCCCCGCGTTATAAGCAAACGTTTCAATGGTTCACTGTTAGTTTTTTTATACCACGCATTTCATGATGGCTATTTTAGAGGTGTGTCTAGCGATCCACAGACTCTTTTGAATGTCTTTCAGAACTTTTCAAATTAAAAGCTCTCAATTCATCTCAAAATAAACATTGCTGCAAAAACGTTCTCATACTTTTATTTTGAAGGCAAAATCACTAAAGACGAAGTGATTGTGAGTAACTGTTGCTGTCATGACAGATCTATTTCAGAACCAGCTGCTATCAAAATAATCTTGCTGCGGGCGCGGGTCAGATATTATTGCTTTAATATTGCTTTAAAAAACTTTAAAATGTTTTACTGTACATGTAATGAATCTAGAATATATGAAAGTTTCACTTTTTGAAATAAGTTACAAAAAGAAAATCTTTTTCATGATATTCAAATTTTTTGAGATGCACCTGTAGATGTGTTCAAAACGTTTATGTAAAAGTATACTAAAAGTAAATGGAAACAATGTTATATAACAATAAATTACAGAAGCAAAAGTGAAATTTTTTCAGATAAATATATTTTAAATCTGAGTGTGAACAAACGCAAATAGTGTAGCTAGTATTGAAAGCAACTGCACAAATTGTCTTGTGCAAGAAAAATACAAACAGTGCAAATGATTCACAAACTGCACACAAAATGAGAGAGAAATTATGCTGAATGCAACAGAACAAATAGTGCAAATGATCTTTAGAAAACTATATAAGAATTATTTACATAATATAACAACCAAATGGATCGATCCGCAGGCTGTACTCTGCGTTGGAATCGATTCTACCGCGTTGTGAAAACATAAATTCCAGTACTTTATCTGATATGTACTGTGATATGTACGTTTCATCCTTGTTTTGGTTTGTTTAAAGGGGTCTGTAACGTTGTTCGTAGCTCGGGAAGAAGGAGGCGGGAACGGCGAACATTTAAACCAAACATTAATCAAATAAACAAACACAAAATGAAAGTAAAGCGGCAACCCCTCGCGGACGACTGCCGCACACAAAACACAAAATAAAGTCCAGGCCTGGTCCTCTCTCCTCCACTCGTCACA